TTGTATGGAAGGTTGATTTTTAGATCTTTTAGGAATCACCACACTGTTTTCCACAGAGGCTGTACTAGTTTACACTCCCAACAGTGTAGAAGTGTTCCCTTTTTGCCACATCCTCTCCAGCATCTGTTTTTGAGTTATTGATGATGGCCATTCTGACTGGAGTTAGGTGGTATCTCAATTTAAAGAATTGAGAGATAAATTTAAAGAATTGAGAGTTAAATTTTTCTTCAAATGGGATGACCACTGATACATTCCTTGTGAATTATTGTTTTATAATTTTGAGGGTGGATACATATACTCTTTTCACCTGAAGACTGTATACTCACCTACTCTCTCATCAATTATGGTTGCATTTCTGTCTCTGTTTTGTTTGTTGAAATCTGAAAAGCAGCACTGACGGATGCAGTTTGAATCAGTTTTTTAGTTTTTTTCCCCTTAATTTACAATCTTACCTCTTCAGCTACAGTACAGAGAATGCCAAGAACTTCTGAACCTCTATCAGAAATACCTATCAGAACAGCAGGAGAAGCTCACCATGTCTCTTTCAGAACTTGGTGCTGCTAGAATGCAGGAACAGCAGCAGGTAAGCATCTTTACTCTTACTTCGTTAATGGGTCAGCAAGATGTCAGAAGAGCCATTTGCCTTTTAATTGTCTCACAGTGTATGATATTGTTTTAAAACATGTGGATACAGTATGTGATTGAGTTGGTGTCTTTCCCCTCCATCTTTCCTCTCCTTTCCTTTTCCTGCAACCCAGAGGTCAGGAATAATTACTTGAAGCAGGCTGTGTGGGTCACTGGGAAAATCCTGGTTATATGATAGCACAGCCAGAATGGTGAAAAAAACTTTCTGCTCTGCAGCTTAATGAAGAGGATCAGGTGGGCTATTTGTTCATTGTCCTTATGGAAAATACTAATAAACCTTTCCCAATGCGTGTTCGTAACTTTTAGAATAATAGTGACTTTTAAAAATACTTTGGAGAAAAGTAGATTATTTTACATGTATTTGGATACATGTATTAATCACATAAATATGTATGACTTTATATATGGACATTGATATACATATCACCCAGTGGTATGTATTATATAATTAAATGAATGTTTAGAACCCTGGCAGATATGATGTGAAGCAAGCTTTACAGATACTTCTTGTCCTCTAGCAACTGATATCTGATTTCTTTTTCATAGCCACGAGTTTAAATCTTGACATGGATGAAGATAAGCATTACATATGAGAACGTTGTAGAAAAAACTGTGTAGTAGGTTCAAAGTCATCCATATTAAGTATCAAAATATGGCTATATACTAAAGTGTTGTCCTTCTCTTTGAGTAATATCAGGTCCTAAAGATTAGAGGATGGGGCTTTTTGCAAACCTTTTAAAGAACATCATTATATTCAGCCTAGAAACAACTGTTGCTTATGGATTAAGAGTCTGAGCTAAGGGAGCTCCAGTTCTGAACTTAAAGTTTATATGTATGGAAAAGTTAAATATTTTGCTAGTAATGTGGCATAGCTAAGACTTTTAGCACATTTTATTTTTTGAAGTCACAAAATTTTAAAGGAATAGCCAAAGTATAAATGCTTTGTTTATATTTTAAGTTTTTGTTCTGTTTTCTGAAAATATAGCTTATGAAAAGAGGCAGAGGAAGGTGACAGCTATTCCTGATTTATGAATTTTCACTACCACTTTGAAAACAAGGCAGGCAGTTTTTAAGGTGGCCCTTGCCTATTGCATTTGGGTAGGCTAGAGAAAATTGTAGCATGAAGGTCAAATTTCCACCTTTGATTTTGCATTTTTATTTCCTTTGATGTGATATACTTGTGTGGAGAGCACAAAACCGAAAGACAGTCCATGTGGCAAAGGTATGGGAGGGGAGACAGAGGAACCTTTTATTTTTCAGTATTAAGAGTCTTACAACCTTAAGGAGACAGACTAAGAGTCAAGAAATAGTTGCCAGGGGGCCCTAAAGACATCTAGATCAGATGGCCCCACCCTCTCTCTATCTACTTTTGAAACCGAAAGATAAGACTTTCTCAGGTGTTAGTGACTTATATTTAAGCTAGTAATTTCTTGGAAGTTTGGCTAGAGAACAATCATAGTTAGCATTGCCTCCTTTAACTTTAACCTTGAGGAGTAAAAATTTAAAAATGACAAATACTCGAAGGAAAATTTTGGCCTAGTATATAGAGGGAGTATACAAAAAGAGATTATCTTTGAATTTTTATTTTTTGAATTAATCATGAGAAAAAATTTAAACTATGTTTTCAGAAAGTGTCTGGTGGTCAAGTTTTAGATTTTGTCTTATACACAAAGAAAATGAAACAGGGTAAAAGACTACTTATTATAGGCTTTGCCATTTGACCCTGACAGGGAAAATAAGTCCCTTTTGAACACCAAGTGGAGATAGTTACCTTATTTTCTGTGTTGTCTGGTTTGTTCTTCCTGACAGGCTTCTCTAATCTGAGCAAAGTTAAGCACTTTATTTTCTTTCTTCATGGGAACTGGGTAAATTTGGCCAACTAGTCTACTTTCTTTTAGTAACAGCATCATTGTGAAGGCTTTGAACTTGAATGAGGACACTGACCTGATTCTCTCCTTTCCTCCTCCTTGCCCTCTGGTGAAGTTAAATGTTCTCTTTATGTACTGACAAACAGACTGTGCCTATCTCTGTGATAGGACCCTTCTTGTTATTTTGTAGGTCTTGCTACATTATTCATCTGTCTCGCTCACCAAGCTCTTTTGAAAATAGACATCCTGTTGCATTAGTGTTTGTGTACTCAAAGCCTAAACATAGCTCTTAGCTTAATATGTTTTTTCATTTATTTTTATTTAACAAATATTTATGTGGTACATACTACGTAACACATGTCAATTCATTTAATCCTAACTCAGTGAGGTAAGGTAGGTTATTATCTCCATTTTGCAGAGGAGGAAGAAAGACCAGAGACAGAATGAATGACTTGGCCAGGTCAAACAGCTAACAAGTTGGCAAAGCCAAGATGTGGAACCAGCCAGTCTGGCACCATAGTTTGTTGAAGAAGGAAAGAAAGACAAGACAAATTTGAGGTAGCTGAAATTACTGAAAATTTGCTTTAGTTGTCCTTTTTTCTAAAACTAACTCTCCTTGATTCTTAATCTGACATACAGGTTTTTGAAAACTAGAGCACAAATATTCTAGAGATGGGGAGAAACTATTTACTTTCCTTGTAAGAAGTCACAATGTCAGATAATACCTAAAATTTTATTCTCTAACTTTTTTCTGATCTTACCTTTAGATTTTATGTTGGAGATGGCAGCAATTCATTTTTCACAAGACGTTTATTTGACTTTAGGAGACATGTTCTATTCCTTCTTTGTGTTGGTTGCCATCTGGCTTAAATTGCATATTATAGGTTTTGCTTATAGTTTTATTAAATCTATAGTTCTCCTGAAGAATGTTCTAGCTTATGCTTCTCTTTTAACTTCTCTCATTTCCTTGAAAAGAAATTTCAATTTTTCCTTTATTTATAAGATGAATTGTTTTCTTGTATTCTCTTCATCCTTTTTCTGCTTTGCCTCAAAGGTGACTGTATTCTACATTCATTTTATAATTCATTCAGCATTATAAGTTCTTTATACTAGATTCTGGAGAGGTTCTTCACCTGTTTGATATAGTTTTTAGTATTTCTTTAATGTGTATTGATTACCCTTTTTTTTTTTTTTTTGAGTTGGAGTCTCACTCTGTCGCCCAGACTGGAGTGCAGTGGCCACTCCCGGCCACCGCAGCCTCGACTTGCTGGGCTCCAGCAATCCTTCCGCCTCAGCCTTCCAAGTAACTGGAACTACAGGCGCACGCTACCACGCCTGGTTGATTTTTTTGATTTATTGTAGAGATGAGGTCTCGCTGCCCAGGCGGGTCTCAAACCCGTGGACTCAGGCACTCCACTCACCTCAGCCTCCCAAAGGCGCGGGATTACAGTCTGAGCCACCAAGCCTGGCTGATTACCCTATTATCTAAAAAAAATAGTACTTACCTGTAATATAATCTTAGTCTTGGACATGGGAAGACATAACCACAATTTTGGTCGATGTACATTTTAGAATTTAACTTTCTCTTCTTATGGTTGAGAGTTATTTCACTTTTGTTAATCTAAACTTAAGCAATGTCACCTCAAACCACGATGCTTATAACTTCCATTTTTTGTCCTATTTGATAGGCGGTATCATTTTAGAAGAGTTGTATTTCCTCACTACTGTTTATATTAAGAGAAAGCCTAGTCAGCATTTTAAAAATCTTCTCCCATTCCAGTTTAAAAATATTTGTGGGCAAGCATATTTTACTTACTGCTTGTCTTACCTCTGCATTGTTTTGTCAGGTAGATATAAAGAGGTAGCTTTAGAATTTGGGGGGAATTTCTCATTTTTCTTTAAAATGGGTAAACATTACTTTTTAGCATGGGCAGTTGATATTGAATCCCCATTCTTTTGGGCTGGTAAAAGGCCTATTTAAGTAACATTTATTTTTCTCATGATGACCTGGCCCATGTTTCTTAGTAGGCCTGGGTTATGATCTGGTCAGGAATCTAAAGTATACTAAACACGAATCATTGTTAAGTACATATTTAATGTCTCTGGGTAGTTCTTACCACTGTTGTCTCTATGGTTTTATTAAAAGAGTTTTTACTGTGTTTAGAGCCAAATAGTCTTGGGACTACTTCCTATTCTGTGACTATTTTCATGTATTCCTTTGATTAAAATTTATTTAATTTTGGTTTTTATGTGTATTTAATATGTAATATGTATCTTAATTCTATCTAGTTTAACACTGAGCTATCTTTGAATTATATCAGCACTTTGTTATAAGTCCATATTTTATTGACAGTCTTGAAGCATCATCATACTTCTAATTGCTGGCAAAACCAAGTTAAAGATGTAAGGCTCTTTGTGCTACTTAGTTCTTAACAGACTAAAAGATCTGTAGATAAAACAAGAATCGTAGTTTGCTAGGGCTACCATTAAAAAAAGAAGAATAAAAGGAATAGGACTTCAACAAAGTTCTGTGGGGCCCATGAAGATATGATATTTTAGTGACTTTACTGTCCTCTAAGCTAATCATTCATTTTGGCTCTAAAATATTTGAAGGAAGTAAATATTAACCCATAAATCTGACTTTTCCAAAAGAAAATAAAAGTAAATTTTCTCTTTCTATAAACTCCTTTGGAATCTTTATTTTTTGGTGACTTGCCCATAAATTTTGCCTTAGGACAATTATTGATATTGGCACATAAATGTGAGGAAGGTTAATAATTGGATAGACTGGAAAGATTTGAAAGATGCTGCTGCTTTATTAAAACTCATAGTCATTACTATAGCTGTGGTCTTTTCCAAAACAGGAGTGGAGAATATTGGTATACCAAAGTAATTCTTTTGTTTAATGTGAGTTTTAGTTTCATGACCCATCTCTTACAGTATAGCCTTCTCAAATTTATTCATTGAAAATAGATCCAAAAGACACTAATATTATACAAGTCTAATCAATAGTGATCCCATAAACAATTAGAACCGCATTTTTGTGTCCTCTAAATAACAGATGTTGAAA